TTTTTTTTTAATCATTATTTTATTTTTTTTTCCGCGCTGCGTTCATTTTTTTTTTAAGCGCTTGAAAGGTCGTCATCGGCGGCTTATGCAATTTTTTTTTTCCCGCGGCGTCAGAATGAGCGAATTTAAAAAAAAAAAAAATTCGCATCATCGCAACCCTCGTTTCACGCTCTTTTGTGCGATTTTGGAAGAGCTGCGTCACGAGGTGGAGGGCGGGCTGTGTTGAAATAGGTTTCCTTTAAAAACTATGTCAGACGGATTAGCATGTGATATTCAAGGTAACACCTAAGGAGTTATGACTTAACACCATTACAGCCGGTAACTGCAATAAAGTTGCAAGCTACTCCTGCCCAGGCTGATACTCAAAGCCAGCCCGAAGATGGAGTGCCTTCTTTCAAACTGTTTAAAAGTTTTTTACAGAATGAACTGCAGCTCAGGCACAGTGTGTGCAGTTGTTGTTGAGTGCTGTAAAAACACTAAAATAATGCCAATGAGTATTTCTATAACAATTTTTTCTTTTATCCTGATGGTAACCTTTTCAGTCTAATCCTTATTTAGGCACAGATTTAGCAACTCACGAAGAACTGCTGAAATGATTCTTCTTTCAGCAGCAGCACTAGCTAACCTCCGGGAATTTTCAGGAGAGAACAGGCTACTTTTCCTTACCTCAGTCTGAGCATCTCACATCTTCTCTACTTGCGTGTAAATCCTTGGTAATTCTACACCATTTCCTTCGTCCATGTTTCAAAAACAGACAGTTTGGGCACAAAGTGTGGGAGGATGTCTCCCAGGGAAGTCTCCAGGTTATTTTGTGAACTTTTGGGTTTTTTGATGATTTGGTTTTTGTTTGTTGTAGTTTTTTTTGTTTGTTTGTTTTGGTTTTTTTTGGTTTTTTTTTTTTGAATGACCACAGTGTGCTGCCTTTGGTACAAGTGCTTCCTTCCAGACACAGGTAAACCAAATCACATTCAATTTGTGTAGCAAATGCTGAATATTTTCTCAAAATACATCTATAATTGTCCTGGTTTCAACTAGCCTAGGGAACTCTTCCAATGCTTTTGGCAACTTTTGTTTGCACATAACATGTGTCTGGGTTTATCTCCCTCTTTGGTTTGAGGGAAGGATTCTCCCAGATTTCCTACCATTGTTTCCCCATTTTTTTGTTCTCCATACTTCTCAGGCCCATTAGTGACATTCCTTTTAGTCCAATGCCATCTAGTATGGCATTTAAATCCCCAAATGAGGACGAAATGGCATTTTCAAGGAGAATTCTCATACATATCAAGCTGCCTTTTCAGCTCCCAGTAGAACCAAAGGGATCTCTCACTGCCAATCAATTGCTGCCCTCATCATCACCGTGCTGAACATCCATGGAACAGCTCAGGGTGGGCTCTGATTGCAGGGCCAGGACAACTGATGGGGTATTTATTTCACAGCTTTATGCCCTTACACTCCGAGTTTCAGGAACACAGTTGTTGCTGTAACCTGGGGAAGATCTGAGTCTCCCAACACGGAGTTGCTCTGGCCTGTGAACAGCTCGGCCACTCCTGGCCTTTCAGAGGAAAACAGCTTCTGTCCACAGAAAGCCAAATGGCAACAAATTAATGAAAAACATGGTTAAACCCTTCATGTCTGAAACATCTCCAGTTTCCTTGAAGTGTTTGCTGGTGACATTTCAGGGCTGCCCTGTAACTCGACAGTGGGTTGAGTTCTCATTTTTGGCTGGTAGCCAGCTTGCAAATAAATAAAAGGCACTTAAATAACTAATGAGCTTTCACTCAGGTCCCTCTAGCCCTTTGCCCTTGAGCAGGCCACTTGTGCTCCCCACACCATCAGAGGGACACCTTGTCTAACCTTGCTGTGCAGATAGAGGGTGATGAAGAATAGTTCCAAACTTGGGACAAGCCTAGGGT